TGATTTTTTTTTTTTTCTCCAAGTTTATATGATCTTTTAAGATCTGTGTACAGATGATTATGGAGTACATCGAATTTTAATTTTCACTTTTTCATTAAATTTTTTTTTAATGATACCCACCACAGCACCTAGAATTAATCCATTTTCTTAAGAAAATATAATTTTATTTGGAGAAAATAAGATCATTAAATTGTCACATTGAAATTACTGTCACATTAAGAGGTGCAGAAAAAATGCAAATGAAAGAAAAGCAATTGAAATTGGATAAACGGATTACATGGTCTCCAATGTTTCCTTAATTAGATCAATTTTTTTTTTACAGTACTTAATAACAAAATCATGAACCAATATACAAGTACCAATCACAGTCACAGGAACAATAGACAATCAGTATTCGAATCGGACTTATAAAAAGCTTTAAGTAACTTAATATTAGAATTATGCTACTTTGGCATAATTTTTTGACACATTACACAAGTAATGTGGAAGTGTGAGTATTGTCAATTTTAAAGTTGGATTTATAAAAAGCTTTCAAATAACTTAATGTATATTAAATTACTAATTTGACATAATTATTTGATACAATGGATGTCATAAATTATGTGAAAATGTAAGAATCGTTGATTTTAAAGTTAACGTAATGTAACAGTAAATGAATTATGACGGTGATGTCCTAACATCTTGCCATAAGTGTGTTATGTCAAACTTTATGTCAATTATTATTGTTTATTAACAAAATGAATTTCATTTTTCAGTTCTGTGATTCTGTTATTATACTTTACTTTCAGTTCATCAATCAGAGGTGATGAATAATCAATAGTTGATCTTCTTTCTATTAGGTTGCAACATACCTTTTCTTTCTCATATATGCATGCAGAAAATGTCAACTTCAGAAAACAAACCTACACAATAATATGACATTTCAATAATATAATACAAGCCTAAACAATAATATGACATTTAAAATAAAGACATTTTCATTCATTTAATACTATGATGAAATTACCATAAAGAAATCGTAAAACTGAAAAGCCCCCACTGTTTCAACACGCACACGTTCGAAAAACACTACCTTATGCTTTCGAAATATTTAGATTAAGAATTTCTGCAAATCCTCTCATAAACGACTACAGATGTACCAAAATCGTCCAAGGGATTCTGATTTCTGCATCGCAGCAAGTGCAAAATTATTTATCATGACGTTATAAGTAAAAATGGATTATTACAATTTAATTATAAGGGCACAACATAGGAACCATGTGAAGCAGAAATAGTGCCATAGTGGAACTAAATATGATTTGCCAATAATGAAAAACTATCACAAGAATTGAACTCACCCCAGATCAAAGTTTAAATTCCCCATCAAAAGGTTTACAGAGTAAAATTCATAGT